CACAGAAGTTCGCCTTAGCACGAGAAGTGGCCCGCCTGCAGTCCGGAGGACCCGTTGTGAGTGCTGCTGTTGCCCCGCTCTGCCTGGGTGGGGTTTGGGTTTACAGCGTGCTCATGAAGCAGGTGTTTGGGCTCCACACCGGGCCTGTGCTACTCCGCGGGGGCGTGAACATTCTGGCACTGGGGCTCGGTGCCGTGTCCTACTTCCTCACCTCGGATGCTGTTGGCCAGTGGATTGACTATAGCTCTGACCGGCAGGCTGCAGGAATTTCTCGTGATTATGCCAAAGGAGGGGTAGAGTTTTACGATAAGATTCTTGCCAGAAACAAAACACTGCGCTCCCTGATGGGGAGAAAGGGAGAGGAGATGTATGCCCCGAGTGGCAACTTGTTTCCTGCTCACCTGCTTCAGCTGAAACACACACCGTACACATCCAGAAGGGACGGGATCCTCACTCTGCTGAGAGAGGAAAAATCTTGAGAGACTGTGAGGCGGCAGGGGGGATGTAAGCTGAACCTGTCGATCTATACATTGTGCTAATCATGAATAGACTGTTGAATAAAAGCAGGATAAGATGGTTCCTGAGTTTGTTTTTGAAGCAAAAAAAAAACCCAAGCCAAAATCATTTATAACATTTTTTTCCATAGAAGTATGTCATCCCATGAAAGATGAATGTTATTTTGTTCAACATCTTGTGAATTCTGAAGTGCGGAACAACACAAATGACAGGACAGCCTTTTAAAGTGCTTTGGTGTCCAGTATTTAATGGACAGTTTGACTGGTGGGTTATTTATCCAACAGAAGACAAGATTCCAGTGGTTACCCAATGTTCAAATAGATATTTTTGAAGCCTGTTCAGAGCATAAAATAAAATAAATGTTGCTGAGTAGACCTGGGTGAACAGCCTTCGTCACGCAGAATACGGTGTTGTTCTTTCTCTCTAGATTTTAGAATTAGAAGCTATTAGAAATGATCAGTGTTGCAAAACACTCTGTTTACTACAGGCTGGGAATCACCAGAGGATCCACGATACGATATTATCACGATACTTAAGTCAAGATGCAATAATATTGCGATAAAATATATTGCGATTTATTACCTTTTTTCAACTGTAACTTATGTTTCCAAAGAAAAACTTTGTCATCAGATGTTTTATCTAGATTTCAGTGTGTTCATCTCATGTAAGCCATTTTGCAGCAGCAGCAGCAAAGTGTATCTAGTGGACTGAAAAAGCCATTGATTATATTATTTTAGTAGGCTAACTAAAGTGTAATTTGAATTTGTGGTATTAATAATTTATTTAATAAAAATTTGATACTTTGCACTGTGGGACGATACGATATTACCACACGATACTCGCGATACTATGCTGTATCAATTAATTCCCCCACCCCTGCTGTTTACCAGGCCAGTTTGTCCATATTACAAAAACAAACAAACAAGCAAAACGTATATCCTTACATACATATATTGGTATCTATTCATGTATAGTTCTGTTTATTTGCCCAGGTTTTGAGATATCCATCTACCCAATAGCTGCTGCAATCCCATTACAATCAAGGTGAATGGAATTTAGTTTGTTTTTGATCATTTAACTGAAAACCAAAATACAAAACAAGTAAACAGCAACATGTTGTCCAATAAACAGTGTTCTAGAAACTCTGGATTATCCATAAACCTTTGACCTCGGTGGATTATCCTGAGTGGCAAGCTCACTGTTTACAGCCAGTGGAATTTTTTCAAATCCCAGAAGCTGAAACTTCTCATTTCTTCTCCGTGTAGAATCAGTTGATCCGTTCTCAGAAATAGAAAGTGAAGCACCAAAATACAGGCTAATGACAACGCAACACAAGATTCAGTATTTTCATATCACAGATGTTCAGCATGGGTAAAAATATTTAAACAAACTCAAGAGTTTGCCCTTGATGTTTGAGCTTTTAGCTGCTCAGCTGAATGCTTCTTTATAGAGAAATAGCAGTTCATTGTTAGCTGTGTTAGAGAATCTGAAGCACCCTCATGCACAGTATCTTCAGATGTGTTACCACTCAATGAAAGCCAGGTCAATCCATCATAATATCCGAACTATTTGTGTTTTAATGTGTAAATATGGAAGCAATGAACCCCCCACAGTGCAGCTGTATGCATCATCCATATGTGCATACTTTGAGAAGATGAAATAGAACTAGTTAATGCAGTATTTTCCCAGTGCATCTATTTAAAAAAGCTCTTTAACCATGTATTTGTCCTTTTAAATATGACATCAAGCTGTGTTCACTATAATGAACAGCAGCATTCTTCCATTCATCTCAGGTCAGATCTTGAATAACCTTTCAGGAAGAATAACGCGATGTTCCCACGCATCATTTGCATGACCCTAACTAATTTGTTTAGCGATAATAATCTTAATATGCAGCTTATTGTGGCTCAGAACTCATCATATAGGACCCAAGTTCCCCCAGGTCGTCCGTCTGTATATTAACAAGGTTCAGATATGGTGTTTTAATTACAATTACAATCTTGTACCCTGTGGACTGAACTAAATATAGAAGCACATAATTAATGGTGTTGTAGATAGACATACACTGACTTTTTATATCATTGTCCGTAGAGTGAAGTGGCAGCTACATCCCACTGTGTTCTTCTTTAATGGGTCAATAGAGCTGAAAATAAAAGGCACATGGTGTAATAAAATTTGGACATAAAAGTAGACGGCAGATTTGGTAGAATAAAGGCAGTGTTTTTAACCAGAACAGCTTGGGTTCAGTGTTCTCTGACAGCAAGTGTCCTCTCTGCATTAGCGCCCTTGAGCAAGATGCCGAATATGTTCCAGATTCATGATTATACAGCAGATTGTAGGCTTCGACACGCTGCACCCTGCGCTCAGGAAATGCTTTCACCAATATATGAACCAAATATTTTTTGTTGTACTGTAATAATCCTCATATCGTCAGGTCATATTATATTGAAAACACAGTTGGAAAAAAAAAATCAATAAATACATATCTGATTAGGAATGTTCCTGTGAAAAAGAAGAAGAAAAAAATCTTTGAGTGGATATTTAGGTCTACTTCATCATTTTGCCGACTACAAAGTGTCTTTTGGGATATGCATATCAACAACACTGGGCTTATTGTCTTGTTCTCACCACTCTGCTTCATCTGCTTACTCTATTGTATGCCAAACAGAGTTACTGTACAATGGGCCATTGTTAGTGGCATTGTAGGCTGTTTCTTTGTCAAGCCACTTGAGGTCAGTACAGCCCACATCACCGCTCTCATAGCTTGCTACTACTTTTCTTTCATGGTGCCTTATGAATGACAGGGCTACAGGTTCATTTGGTCTGAATGGACAGGCTTGGACTTGAAGTGAATGAGAACAAACTAGAAAAGAATAATTTTCATAATGGCATTTATTTTGAAAGTCACACAATGATATTCACTCTGGAGTTAAGACTCTTGCAGGGACATGGCTCTTTTCAAAATGAAATTCAAGTAAAAAAATATATTCTATTAACATCAAATCCAAGTGTGTATGTGTGTTGAGTTTATGGCATGGTTTATTTCTATTTCTATTTAATTCTGGTGGCATTTTTAAACATAAAATAAAATGTAGTTAAATGTTAAGTTAATTTATTTGCACAAGTGCATTATATCAACTACCTATTCACAACTACTCAAAACAGTGCATTCAAATACATTCAAGGTATACAGAAGGATTTCTCAACACATAAGAATTTGTGCAAATTGTATTGTTGACACAGCATCTCGTTTTCTATCTGAATCAGACAGTAGGTAGACTACTGTGTGTGCACTAGCAAAATAGCTAAACTAAATATTTTTTAACAGTATGCAAAAAATGAAATAATTTGTACAACCTGCAGTATGCACATATTCCACGTGTTACATTATCCAGTACAGATTAAGATAATGTAAAATATATAGGGGTGAAGTCAGGTACATTTGAACACTTTTTAGTAAACTGCCAAGAAAACCATCTAAAAGTCTTGTTATGGATCCCTGCTATATTTCTATGAAGATTAATGTTGCCAAACACACAAAGAGCCCCTGCCTCACTCCAGTGACATGTTCAGATAAAATGCAACTGTCATGTTTGTTTTTAAATGGTTCAATCAGTTTATCAGTTCAGCCATTAATTCACTGAATCATTATTGTAACCCAACAATTCAATAAAAAAATACCATCCATCTATTCTGTTCTTTTGCTCCCTGTTTTCTTGGTGCTGTATTCTCTACAATGGACGTGTGTGTGTGTGTGTGTGTGTGTGTGTGTAATGATGATGACTAACCCTGGACAGTTGTGGCTGACATCGATTCACTGCTTCATCTTTACAGGGTGACACACACTAGCATAAGTCATGATTTAAATGGTTCCTATGTTTGTTTGTTTTTGTCCCATTTTACCTGAATGCATTTAGTACACACTCAAAAGCTTTTCCTATAAAAAGTAAAAGTATTGTGAAAATATTTTGATTATAAGACAATCATTTAATAAAATGCAGCATCCTACAACCATATCTGTTATACCCTCGTTATTTTAGCTGCAGTTCTTTTATCACCAAAAATAAGAAAATCAACATGCCTCATGGCTTTCCTGGCAAAATCTGGGTCCAGTGAGTTTTAGGCTCTCTGTTCTGCCCCACCTAAGTATCTCAGACTAATCATAATGATTCATTCAATGGTCCATTTTGACTTCAAGTCACATGTTACCTGACTTCACCTCAGGTTATATATCAGTGGTCACATGATACACATGCTTTGACAGCATCATTTGATTGACCCAAACAAACACACAAAACTGCCATTATGTTCTTCATATGAGCTACAATGCAGCTAATGGTGGAAATATTAAGATTATATTTTGGAGTAGCTGTACCTGTGTGCGCTCAAAAACCAAACCGCGCGCCTCCCGCTCCGTGGCCCCGCCCCTGTGCGCTCGCTTTGCGCCATTACGTCGGTATGCTGATCGCTGCTGTGCTGCAAGGCAGGCAGGCAGGCAGGCAAAGCAGCTGCAGAGAGACCAGGGAACGCTGACAACAACTGAGAGGCTCATGTTAGGAAAGTCAGAAACGCAACATTTGCCTGTTTTGTGATCAGATACCCATAGATTATCACTCGTAACCTTCTCCCCGATAACATTTTCTTCATTTTGACGCATGCGTGGGAATATATTTTTCATTCTCTCGACCTGAAATGACTGCTAGTCGCCTCGTCTAGCCAATGGTTACTGCGGGGGCTCCTGTCTTGTGGATTATCCGTCGTCGCCGAGCCAGTCGCATGGTCGAGCCCGGAGGAGGCCCCGCTCTGCTGGATGGATGTGTGTGAGGCAGCGCCGGACTCCCAGTACTGATGAAGACGGTGATAATGATGATGCTCGGGTTTCATCGGCAGCGGGTGAACTGATCTTGGATGTTCGGGCTATATCGCCCCTACACAAAACATTTCCTCACACGGCAAAAAATATATTCCTTAAAAACTGGACGCCGCTGGAGCAGTTTATGACGGTAAGAAAGACGCTCATTCACAGGCCACCAGTTTTTACAGCCAGCTGACGTTAGCTAGCTAGCTAGCTTAGCGCTGTCACTTTTATACAAGTTGCTCCTCGCGCAGCTAAAAAAGCTAACATTGCGACATAACACTGTGATAGCGCCTTTTTAAATGCTCCATATTATCAATACAACTGTGCCTGTTTGAGTTTGGTACCACAAAAAGAAACAGAAGACACATTTTAAACCATAACCTTAATAGCCAGTGGTGGTGTAGCTCGCTTGTTAGCTAGCTGCCTCTCAGCCCATTCAATATTTTGCAGCTTACTTACCGTAGCTGCGAAACACTCGCTAACCCAGTGTGCGCAGTATTGCTTTTGCATTTAAAGCTTTATTGAATTATTTAAACTTTGCTCGACCTTACCTCGAGTCGACGTTTATAGTTGAGTTTAAAAGGCCGTTAATAGCTCATTCATTATACAGTGCACAATAAGCCCTTTAATGACAGCGTCCAGTTGGCGTTCAATGGAGCCAGTGCGGCGTCAGTGATGTGACGGATGTGGCTTCAAAAATGACATTCCTTTATCATATGTAACAGGCATTAATCAGTGGTTACTGAGGGAGTCGCTTTGCCGTGTTACTGTGTGTCTCACCATATACCATCCGTGGTAAATAGATAGCCCATAGCGAATACAGACCCTTCAAGTGAAATCGATGTAGGGTTTTGTCATTCATTGGTAATGATTGCTGAGGCACCGTTTGGTTACAACTGCTCTCATGTACGTGTCACATCCCAGAAATGTCACACGAGAGGGCATATATATGGATAAGCTGCTTATTGCGACCCTGCTTCAGTCGCCCGTGCATCAATAATTCATTTTTTCTGCAAAGTAATTGATAGGAAAACAGCTATGTCTGCTGACCGAGAAGCTGTTAACTATGTGTTGTTAAGTAATAGATGCGAGGGTTTGCTGTGATGAGGCGTCCTCCTTTTTTTTCGATGACGTAATCCTCCACCATCCGTGCCACATCTTTTGGGTCGCAGTCGGTTCCTCTGCTGCCTGCTGCTTGCCAGTCTGCTGCCGCTGCTGAGATCATATGGACCCTGCTCTGTCCTGGTTGTCTAGCCTCTATCTCTCCCTCCTGGCTTTCTTTTCTTGTCTTTTTTCTTTATCTGAACTGCAAAATGACTTAAGGGCCCCGGAGCTTAGAGTCACAAACGGTTCTGAATGGGATCTCAGTCAGGGGCAGCAAAGGAAGGGATTGTGAATGGAGTCCAGTTGCTGGGTTCGGGTTTCCAAGTGTCAGCAGCCCCAAAAACATGGATGGGGGTTCCCAGGGATTTGTGAAGGGGGCCCCCATCCCTCATTACACTGTGCGTATTGTACATATTTATATTTTAATATGTAAGATTAGACAGTGACAATAGCTTCTCTACAGTATCAACGAAGGAATCCACATAAGCAGTAACCTAAGCAGATGCCTCCCCCCTTAAAAATGGGTGTCTTTGACCTAATGTTGATATTGACCTGAATGCGTTTGGGAATCCTTGTCAGAGGCTGATGGCTGCAGAAGCTGAACTACTTATCTTGGGAATTAGGCCTGCCGTGTTGCACATTTTTATTTGGGACACCATATTATATATTAAAGCGGTGGTAGTACGGATTATTTTGTAACACTGGATTTTTAGCTCAGCTCAGGGTAAAGATAGGAGAGTCAGGCATCCAGGATTCTTTAATGGCACAATCTCTGATCGCTGAAACATACCGTAGGATTTGAGGCTGTGCTGTGGTGCCGTTGTCACATAAACATGACTAAATAATGCTGAGCAAAGTGTGTGTTCATTGGTTTTGTTACATGCAGTTTAGCCATTTTTATTTATATATTGCAAATTCATAAATGGTAGAGTCGCAACAATCGATGTATTTGTTGTTAACCATAAAAGAAATTGGCAATTAATTTGATAACCTGTTAATCTGAGTACTTTTTTAGGGAAAAAGGTAAAACTTGTCTGATACCAGCTTCTTAAATGTGAATATTTTCAGGTTTCTTAAGTCTTTTATGACCATAAACTGAATATCTTTGGGTTGTGGACCAAACAACACATCTGAAGACATCATCTAGGGCTTTGGGAAATACTAATCAACATTGTTCACCATTTACTTACATTTTATGGACAAAATAACTAAATGATTAATTGAGAAAGTAATCAACAGATCAGTCGACAACGAAAACAATTGTTAGTTGCAGCCTTCATAAATGATGTGCTGAGGAGAATGCTTCATTGAACTGAACATTTCTTTGCTTTTGCTCCTTCCGAACGAAGAAGAAGTTTTGAGTTTTAGGAGTGGATGGACTCAGCTGGTGAGGATTAAATTGCCTGTGGCAATGGCCCTGGTTTACTTGAGCAGTGCACCTGAACCTGCCATCCCCATGGCATACAGCAGAAACGTCTGTGATATAGAGAGAGAACAGATAGCAAAAAGTGAGGGGAAGATGTGAGGTGAGGATATGGATAGTGGGAGACAGAGGAGGCACAGGTGTGGCCGGGGTAATGGGGATAATCTGCACCTGCTTGTAAAGGGCAGGGGGATCCCATGGGAGCAAATTGGGAGTTAGGGAGTATCATCAGATCCCAAAGCGGCTGGCTTAAATTCAACTGTGGGCATGGTGCGGGGCAAGCTGTAATGTACTCTTACCTTTATTTCCAACAATTAGTAGTTATTTTTGGCGATATTTAACCAACACAATAAAAGTCAGACGATGACTAATCATTTCTGCCAAAGGCGTCACTTTAGTTGAAATTATTCTCAGTCTTGGGGCGTAGCCTGCAGTCCTGTACTATATGCACAACAGTTTGAGAAACTGTTGGTCAACATTGCCTGCAGCTTTACAACAGGGGCAAAATTAGCTTCAGAATTTTTGGAGGAATTTCTTCTCTTACTTCATCCATCACTTATATTCAATACTTGAGTTTATTGGTGCAAGCATTAGGCTGTTTTATTAGTGTAAAGTAATTTAGTTAAATTAGTGTGGTAAGTAGTAAGGTACAGCAAATTCATGACCACTTGGACATCCTTCTCACCACCACTTTATCATCATGCCACTTTTACAGATGTGTCTCCACAGGTTTGGCTGATGCCCTGCAGAGAGGATGCATAAAGATGACAGCCTCCTGGTTAAACATCATAAACCAGCCCACATAGCAAAGTAGTCAAAGGTCAGCCATTGTTCTTGCCGGTTTGAAAGGCTGAGATGTGTATACACAGTGGGATGGGCTAGGAGCACAGAACGCTAGAGAATGTGCAGGACATTAAGTGCCTAAATGTCCACTGTTTCACACAAGAAGTCAGTGTTTAGTAGGGAAATAGCATTTCCTCTTTGCTTTGAGTTTTCTGCTCTTCCTTTTTCTCTCTATCTTTGCCTGACACCTTATGTCTGGTTAGTCTCAACGTTGGAAAAAGACACACCCTACCTTGCAGCGTGGTGCTCAGTTGTGCTGACAGCTTGGTATTAGTGCTAACTGACAGCGTTGGTAAGAAGACTGCTGGCTGGGTGCTGCAGGCAAGATACATTATCAGACTTCAGAGATACTAGCATCTGCGTATCTTACATCAGTAAGCTTGGATTCGTTGCCAGAAGAGCTGTGAAAAAAATGTTAGTATCAATTCACTTTCACTTGTGTCACCACAATGTAATTTTTTTATTCTTTGTCAATTCCGTGCTACCAAGTTGCATTTTTCACTCCTTACACAAATTAACAACTTGGTTAATAAGATTCACACTTGCATGTTTCAAATTGAGTAGTACTTACCTTTAAAGATCCCTGATATGATCCTCTTGTTTGTTTGAGTGAGACCAGGCTCACTGGGACTTACGCTGACTGTTGGTGACAGCCCTGTCAAAGAGCAGCCTGTTCATGTTTAACCAAGAGGACCAGCTGCCTGCTCATTCTATTATAACCCTTTGGAAAGCTCACAGTCCTATTTGCAGTTGGGAAGCGCAGTAAGCAGAGCACATTGATAGACAAGAGTTCGGCCATTTCAGTTAACAGTGACTGCACACCGACCCGACCGTTGCCAAGTTACTAGCGATTTTGTGCCAGCTTATTTCTTGAATGTTGTGCATCTTGCATCTGTAATCACATGAGGGGAAATTACTGCCAATAAGTCACTCTGAAACGGGAGGCAAAATAGTCACCATAGATTTACAAATATGCCCACAGGAGGGCATGAAAACAATTTTGCCTAACGTGGCACGCGCTGATAGCCCTCTCAGATCACCATCGTTGTCGTGAGCTATAGTCCTTTCAGTCTGACTGGCAGTCCTTAAGTGAACCAGCCAAACAGCCATGCCTTCACATAAATATCCAGCCAGATAGCTCTCAGAAAGGCAGCTAGTTAGTGGTCTGTTGCTGGGGCGGATATGGCACAAGTCTTTGGCGAATATCATCTCCGAAGCCCCAAACACAGCTGTGTTTATTCTGTGCAAGATACCACAGCTACAGAATGCCAGGATGAAGGTGCCTTGACAGATCTAGACTCCCCAAAATGAGAAGCGAGGAGTGCCATATTAATGGTGACATGTGAGTTTGGATCGGTAGAAAAGAATAATAGTATCATGTGGATGCATCTGACAGGCTTTTAGCATTTTAGTCACACTATCATTCAGAAAATAGAGAAGAAGACACGTGTGCATACATTTTAAATTTTTAGGCCCAGACTAAAAATAATTATTTCCTGCCTGTGAACACAGGGACAAAAATAACAGTGGCCTTGTGAATTGGGTGTAGATGGGTTCAGTTCTAGTAGGGGGGAAGACTTAAGTCCCTTTCACACATGCACAGCGACCCTGAACTTGTCTAGATATTACCCAGAGGAACTGTATGTGAGAATGCAAATGTCGGAATTAGTTGGACAGGACAATAAACGGACTTAACTGTGCCAGCTCCCTATAGTATAAAGTCCGTGTAATGTCCAATTAAGCCCACATGTGAATAGAGCAGGTCATTGTCCAGAGAATTCACAGCGAGCGAGGGGGGCCTGCTGATGACATTTCTGTCATGCAAGAAGATAGACATTGCAGGGTGAAGAAGAAGAAGGGTCGTTTAAACAAAGACACCAACAAATATGTCTACTTGGAGGGATGACAAGACTAAGGAACTTCTGTCAGTAAGGGCCATCGCCAAAAGCGTCAGATAAATTCAAGCAATGGCATGAGACTCGGCTGTTCATGGCCAGATTAAACAAACAAAACACTGCGACTTCTGCAGCGTATTTCTTAAGTCATGTCCTGCCTCCTGTACTCCTCACCTAAATCAAACCAAGTGTCTCCAGTAGGTGAGAATGTATCCGACATGGACGATCTCCTGTCGTGCCATATGTGTGAAAGGGCAACTCTGGACCTGATTCTCTAGACATTGTCCGGTGTTCATATGAAAAATAACGGCTTCATTTTGTCTAGGGATGAACAGAATGCATTCATAGTTGGACAGTGGCGGTATTGTCATATAGATCCCAGTGATTCTTCATGCTTATATAAGATTATTCTAATGAGTCCTATGAGTCATTATATCACTCAGTAGGACCTTTTTCATGGAACGTGAGTTCGTAGTGGTTGTAGCTCTCCTTCTGTTCCATTTTAAGATTTTTTTTAGACATATTTTTGTCAGATCAGGGTCACCTCCTCCATCCCATCCCCATCCTCCTCACGCACACTCTGTCTCTCTCTCCGTCTCTATCTCTCCCTGTGCCCGGCGTTGGTGTATCTGGATCATGCATAACTAATCAGATGAAACTGCATATTATGGTAATGGTGTTCTCAGTTAGTGGGCAGTCATAATGGTTTGATTAGCTGAAACAGCATGTTATCCAGCCAGAGAGAGGAGCTCAAGACCGACCCCCTACTTCTTACTCTCTCTCACACACACACACACACACACACACAGACTGAGTAAATGCTATGAAACCACCACTTATGTTGAGGTATACAGAAATCAGACTACACCAGTGAGAACTGTCACTCCGCATGTGTGCGCAATATCTGATTCTTATGTGTAAATATTGTTGACACCATAATTATAAAGTACTAGAAATCAGCGCTTGTGATCCTATAATGGCCGTAACAGTTTTTATTAAGCACACATTTTTATCAATGATATTTAAACTAATTATACTTACTTATTGTCTCTTAATTTGATGCAGGTGTAAAATTTGTAGAGCATATCACATTCAAATTTATTCCACAGACTCTTGGAGATCCTCCATCTTTTGATCTGCTGATACCCCAGTGTGGTAGTTTGACTTTCTGAAGACCACTGGATCATTTTTTCTCTCGTACCTACATCTACAAATTGACTCAAAACTTTATGATTTAGCAAGAGAGTTTGACTTCTTTTACTCCACTGGCCCACAAGCCTTTAGGCCTTGGCAACATAAGTAGTGGCTCCAGATATCTGTTGTAATTCATCATCGGTATTTGCCCCATTATGAGTCACTTGTGTGTTCTAACCCAGTTTCTGAAAAATGCAGGGCTTGATTTTGCAGACAGAGCCAGGAGATAAAGCTAGCTAGATTATAGTTTAGGGTGATGTGAGAGAGACTTAGCTAGCCTTGCAGAGGTTGGATTAAGACAGCGCAACATAAAGACATTAAAGGATTAACATGGTCATTGATGATCACTGGATATGACACAGATAGATGCAGAGATGGGCTTCAGATAAACGGGGGAATGGGAGACGAGGGCTGCTGGACAGGTGGGCAAACAGCAGGGGACGGGGTGCAACTGATCAGCATCAAAGGGTGGATTGAATATGTGAAGCAGTAGATGTTTGGCCTGAAATAATAGATGTACTTAATCCAAGTTTAAAAGGGAAAGGCATTTTCTGTATAACAGAGCACCATTTTGGAACACTTAATCCAATTCTCATAGTACATTCAAAAGTTCAAATATGAAATATTTTTATCATAAAGGCACATGTGTAGCTCTGCTCTACTCTAGCTGTGCTTACAAAGCAAATAAAACATAATCCCTGCCGCTCCTTTCTTTTCCATAACATGTGGAGTTCCTTCTGTCTGACTCTCTACTCAGCTTATCCATCCAGAGCTCTGTTGTCTTTTGGGATTGGTACCAAGAACCAATATTAAATTATTGCTGCTAACTGATCAGTCAGAACCAAACTAATGATGTGCTCCTGGGCAATAGGTGCTACTCATCAGACATCATTCATTCATTGAACTGTAGATACATGTTGTTTGCTTGCAATTGTATACATTTCTTGCTTTAGCTATAAGTTAATATTGACTTTAATATTGGCTTGTGTGCACACTTAAGCAAAGCAAATATAAATGCAACTGATGTTAAAGGTGGATCATACAGGAATTGTCAGTTACCATTTGTAAACACAAGGTTCAGACTTGGCCTCTCCTCCCTACATTGCTTATATGAACACTGCAAGCTACTGTAGTAATGTAGGAACATTACGTTTGTTATTGTCCATCCTCTCCATCAGTGCTCGCAAGCGCAACCCCACTTTTACTCCTGTTTCAGAACGAGCTTTGTCCACTTGGCGTTTCGCCTCGATATATTTGTATTCTATTTGGAGCTGTGTCCATGATTTACATAGCTCCCTCTTGGATGTGTGTCCCTTCTGCCTGTTCGCTTTAGTCCAGACCTCACCTGCGCACTGTTACTGGCTGGAGACATCCAAAACACACCTGAATAAGAAGAAAATTATAAAATGCAAGCAGAGGGAAGGGTTTCTGCAGATGAATACACTGCCACACACTTCTAATGACTCATCAGTGATGAATGAGAGGGGATCACTTTTGTATGAGTTACACATTGTTTTTTAAGAAACTCTTTCATATTACACTTCTAAGTGTGCTTGTTTGTTGTCACAGTCACGGCCCTTGCAACCAAATTAGACAATATGCCATACATTGTGTAGCAAAATGGCTGTTGCTCCACTGTCGGCGTTATGTGACCACTTCCCCTGGCTCAGTTACGTTGGAGGGATAGTGATATAATCATATTTGACTTTTCATGGAAGTCATCCGTTGAATTTTGACACAGGGTTTTACTCCCTTATTGAAGTCTGCATACATACTAGAAAGGTAATTAGGACTTAGCTCAGATGTGGTGACAAAAGTACGTGTGTTGGGAATTATTGCATCAATCTTGGTCAGATGTCTTTCAGACGCACACTGCTCATAGACTGACGCTGGAGTCAAAATGGGGCTAAGATGATGAGATCAGTCGTTCCTGACCACCACTGCTCCTTGTTGTATTATTACAGAATAACCCCCTGGATGTTATGATTATACCTAAAGAGAGGACTCCTCTCCACTGCAGCCCCACCCCCACCTTTACACTCCTCAGGTATGTGAGTACAGCTGGCTCCTCACTCTTTACTCAAGAATTACGCTCCAGTGCGTGTTTTGGCTTGTCCTTTCCTTCACTATCACCCTTCCCACTATCCCCAAAAATGCACACACACAGCAACATATACCTTTCTAGGCACATTTACACGTATAACCACCATTTCCCTAAAGGTGTATTACAGTTTGCCAAGCAAAGAGTTGTAGATCCATTGCCATGCGCTCTTTATAACCTGCCGCTTGTGCAACCTGAGCTTAGTGCGTGTGTGTGAGTGTGTCTCAGGTCTGCCTTTGAAACAGCTGCTTAAAGAGCCTTGAATACCTCAAGAGGTCAAAGGACACAGTTGCTTAAGAACAGTGGGTCAGAGCCAAAAATGGATTTCACTTCTTATTCTGCTGTGCCCCCCTCATGAGAATTAGCAAGCGTTCATTGTCTTTGATCGCAGGTTGAGGTGTGACCAGCAGAGGTTAAAGAAAGACCCAGGTTTAGTATTTTTTTCTGTTTCCATAGATTAAATTACTTCCAATTGTGCAGCTAGAAAGTGGCAACATTAGGAGTTACAGAACCTGTAATAATTCAACTCTTCAGTCAGGCAGTGGCAAATGAGCAGCACTAGTGAGAGACTCTTACACGGGTTACCGTGTTTCTAAACCTTGAGTTTCCTGCCCTCTTTTTCAGACCTGCAGTGTGTTTTTGTGTGACACTTGACAGGGTTATTTCTGGAACATCAACAGTTTACATGGTAAAACCTTGTTTTATCCGCTGCTTGTTTTGCTTGGAGATGTAGTGGAGGAAGCGCGAAGGGATTCCATCGCCAACTGAAACAAGAACATAAAGGGCAGTCAAGAAATACAGGACATTAGTGCTGCTGTTTTTATTTCATGCTGCAACTAATTTCTTCATAGTCCGGCTTGTTCTCTATCCCTTCCTCTCTCCTTTACTTTTAGCCTCTCCGGTCTTGAATCCTAGTCTACATGACTAGCTTGTTCAAGATATAGGTGTTTGTAGTTTCTGTCTCTCCATAACTTCCTATATTTTAGTCAACAGACGTGTGCCGAATGTAGATGGGGGCTGTGAGTGTCGTCACTGTGCATGTGAGATGATGCAGTGAAGAAAGTAAGAGCGAAAGGATCAACAACATGAGTAGAGATATCTGGTTACACAGGCCGATGGGCATGCTTTTTCAGAGGGTGTGTCCACCAGTGTGAGCTTGGATCATTCTGAACAACACACACACATACGCACAAATCGCATGTACCCCCCGTGCTCTTTTCTTGACACGTGGGCCTAACCTTTCTGAACTTTAACTCAGAGCCTGAGGGCAGGGATGATCCTGAGCCTATCCTCAAGCTAACTTTTTTTCACAAGGACACTTGATTTGCATATAGCAACCACGTATAGAGACAGTGTGTTTGTGTTAGCTGTGTGTGCGGGCTTGGCAATTATTTAAATTATTATGTTTCTTAATTAACATTCAAAAAGATGTTTCCAAATTTTGATTAACACCTCATATGGCAAATTATGTTTGAACAGAACCATTACAGGACATTCATGTGACGGAGACCTGTCTTTGAATGCCAAAACGCTATCACTTTAACAAATAGATGAAGCCAGCATCGTTACAGATTACTTTTTCAAAAAGGGATTCATTTGTTAGTGTGTCTGACTGGCACACAGGTAAAATGAAAGGGCTTCAGTGGAGGTTTGACTGCAAGAAGCAAGACAACCACCGCTATAAGGCTGTGTTAAAACTGGCCCTTCTGCAATAAACATGAAAGCATGAAAAGTCAACCTTAGCAAGCTACATTAGTCGTCCATCTTTGCTGTATAGCTGCTTAACACAACTGTAGCTAAGTTGTGTGGGGAGTTAAAGAGGAACACCACATCAATTAAGAATTTCAATATATTATTTCTATGGCCTAGGAAAGTTTAATCAATATTTATGAACATTTGCTACTCTCTCTCAAAGCCAGAAACCAGAGAAGTAAGGCTTAAACTTCTTGAACTTGTGGACCCACATAATGTTTTCTTTTTTTATACCCAGTGTTCTCAGTTCTGAAAAAGAAAATGTAACCATATAGACCAAGTCATAATGTTCATTTACAATAACTGCTGGGTAGAAAAATCAAACAGTGTTGAGCAAACGCTGCCTCAGTTAGTTCGTTTTTAGCCACCTGAAAAAGGCCAACCACAAAGATCAATATCAGTTTAAGCGAAGTTAAAATATGTTATGCTGCACCCCGTCCACAGCAGTACATTGGTTAGCTTCCGTGCAGGTTGATGTTGCTTATCAAAGACGATAGCTGAGCAACACAGTACATGAAACAGGCACAGCAGAAATGTAAGATAGGTTGTACCAACGTGTTTCACGCTTTATCTTTAAATGTTACAACTGAAAATGACAACGGATATAAACAAATTTGCTAATTTCACATATGTCTGCAATTGAAATCTATTGCTAGTTGTAGACTTAGCCTCACAAGTTATAGCTGTTGTAAGCGTGACGTCACTGTGGTTGGGCCCATACTCAGAAAATAGGCGTAGTTCCCCTTTAAAAAGGGACCCATGTGAGTTTACTGTATATTGGTATTAATTGTTTAAGATAGATTGATCTTGTAGCTATAGAAAGCTATATTGACAGCCAAAATGTAACATTATTTAGATTAAAAAGTGGTTGGCTTACTAGGTAACATGTTAGCTTGTTGAAATGTAATCATTGTAGTTATTTCTACATCAGTCTGTCCCTGTCTGTCCTTGCCGTGACAATCAGACCAGCGGATGCCTGCCTGTTCACAGTGGCGAAGACGGAAATGCACAAAAAAGGAAGAACAAGGCCACGGGACAGCTGTCGCCAAAAAGTTTTCTGAGGAGCTGCTGAGTCAGCCCCCTGTAACACATACATGTACAACAGTGAACACCACACGTGACTTTCTGCAGCTTTATTTTGACCCAACAAGCTGTGAATAATGCATTTATTGTACGTTGCTTTCGGACAGAGTATAATGAATGTACGGTACCATACCTCTTTTACTGTGGATTTATTTTCTTCTGTTAAAATCTCAAGTTATGTATTTATTATAGCTGTTTGTTTTGCCCATGTCAGTATATGATTTATTTCTCGTTATTTTATTCTGTTATTACTTTTTAATTTTTATTTTTAAGTGTCTGTTCAAAGCATTGATCAGTAAACACAACAAGTTGCTGAATCTCAATATGTTAGACTGTCAATCAACGTGCCAGTCTGCCGGCTAGTTATGTACTGCATCAGCGTGGTTTTTCTGGGGGCATTGGTCTAGATGTTTCTATGTGTCTGACAGCCCCAGGTTTGCAGCAGTTCTCAGTTGGAAAAACAAATTGCAGTCTATGTGATTTTGCACTGTCAGGTCCTCTGTGTGTGTGAGTGTGTGTGTGTGTGTGTGTGTGTGAGCTTATATACTGTGTGTGCAGGAAGAAAAGCGCGCAAAATGGACAACCATACCCTGAGAGAATCTGTGTTTGTGTGTATGTGTGTGTGTGTGCGTGTGTCAGAGATGAGAACATGAGAACAAGATTGTGTGAGTGTGTATGTGTGAGAGAGAGAGAGAGAGAGAGAGAGAGAGAGAGAGAGAGAGAGAGAGAGAGAGAGAGAGAGAGAGAGAG